GCAGTAAAGTAACCCAACATTTCCCTCTGTTCTTTTCCACACATATTAGCCAATAGTAGGAAGGAAAATTACATTTCCCTTCTCCACGACAATCCAGATATGTGAATGCAAAGGAATTCAGGAATGACAGCAGAGGATCTCCCAGGTCATCTTGTTCAGGTCATATACTAGGGATTCTAAGTAGACATGTGTGTTTATCATCTGAAAGAACACAGACCAGTTGAAGGTCAGGCATATTTGACTTTGTACAATTCCATTTAGCTTTATTCCTTAATTTAAAAAGAAATTTTAAAGTATCTGATCATCTTGAGTTACTGCAGTTAAAAGAAAAAGAAGAAAACAACAAAAAGCAGAGAACTCACTGCTCACAGAGACTTTATATCTAACAAACAGATAAATATAAAATTACTTTTGACATTTTGTAATGATGTCTAAAAGACACAATGACAGCCACTGGGAAAGAAGAGATTATTCTAACATTTTCTGAGGATGTACTCTATTCCTACCCCATCTGAGATCATTCTAATGTTTGGGATTGTTCTACTTTGTCTTCTTTTGGGCTGCTATGAAAAAATACCATAGGCTGTGTGGCTTAAATAACACATTTATCATATTACAGCTCTAGAGACTGAGAGTCTGAGATGAGGGTGCCAGTGTGGTCTCTCACACACATTTTATTTAGTCCTACAAACATTTCTAAACATCAAAACATATACTAAATTTGTTTTTTAAACAAAGATGGAATAACTCCCTACATATCGTTCACCACTTGCTTTGTTTCTCCCTGGATGTGATGATATCAGCTCTGGTATAACAGCTAGGAGCTAAAACTCGTTCTTTTAGGCAGGTTTATTAGATACTGATATATCGTATCATACACATTTCACCATCTTTCTGTCAGGGAACCCTGAGATTGTTTCTGTTTTATTTCCCTGACTGTCAATGCAGCACTAAACATTCTTGTCTACTATATAGTGTGCTTTCATTCCTATATGGTAGTTTCATTGCTATAGAGTAAAGTTCCATTTGGCCAAATCTTGCATTTCTTTTATTGCTTCATAGATACTAGTCTTCTAAAGCAAATTCTCCATATTGCATCTCACCTCCATCTCACCAAATCATTAATTTCTCTCATTATAAATTCACTTCTTTCAAAAACATGAATTTGTTATTTTCTTCATCATAACTAAACACTCTCTTAACCTTAGTCTCCCTACCACTTATACTTCCCCCCCTCTATAGTCAGAAATTCTGGAATTTTCTTACTTGGTATTTTCAATTTCTCAGTTCGTATTCTTTCTTTAACCCTCTCTAGTCTGACTATTTCTGGTACCAGTGTCTTACGATGTTCTTTTCAAGGTCATCTATGACCTCATTGTTAAATCAGAAGACCAAGTCTACCTTGTCTAGCAGTAGCCTTTCACATAGCAGGCGTCCAGGCCCTCTTCCTTGAACACTTTCTTCACCTATTTTCCAAGAATCTTCACTTTCTTGGCTTTTCTCCCACCTCAATCACCATTCTTTCTCAGTGTCTCTTGTTGGTTCTTCCTCCTCTCCTTTACTTTGTAACATAGAATGTTGCAGGGCTCAGCTTCTGATCATCCTCTTTTCTCTATTCATATTCTCTTTGCTGATCTCACTCACTTTTAGATCTCATGGCTCTAAAAACCACAGACATGCCAACAGTTGCCAAATTTACATCTACAGCACATACATTTTCTCCAAATTCCAGACATGAATAGCCAACTGCCTACTCAACATCTCCACATGGATGCCCTAGTTGTCATGTGTCCCAAACAGAACTCCTGATCTTCCCTCCCAAACCTGCTCTATATACACATTATCTCATTAAGGCACATCATAGATTTCTTGTGAGTAGGAGCACTGGACAGGACTATGGCATGACACTTGAGGGTCCTTTCCAACAGTGACACCACCTACAAAAGGCACAAAATTGTGAGCAACATGGCCTAGAATAGACTGTGTGAAGGACATTTGTTTGCAGTATGAGAACTGAAACAACAAGGCAGAACACCTGCAGTTCAATCCCAACTGAAAATGTATGTGTTGGCAACTTGAATGTTTTTCCTTTCTGCAGATGTCTGTAAATACAGCATAGTGCCTTCAATATTAATTATGAATTATAAATAAAATTTTGAAAGTAGGTGAATTTGTCAATAGTGAATCTGTGAATAAAAATAATAAAAAAAATAATAACTGTATTATTTTTGGGAACATGACATAGTTATGCTAGGGTCATCCCCTTTAGGTATTCGGTATTTCTCCTTTTGTTCAAGTCTTATTTTCTGTACTCAATGAAATGTTATTATTTTATTTATATGAGTTTTTATTTTTCATTAAATTTTTTCCTATTTTCTTTTTAAAACAAAATTTATATTAATTATAGATAAGGTTTTGATAAAAATTCTAGCTAGTTGTTGCTAGTTGAGTGACAAACTATGAATTTTGTGGATATTTATTTATGCTCCACCATCATTCAAAGCCTATTAATTCTAGTAGTTTTTGCTAGAGTGACTTGGGGTTTCTTGGGGATTCACAATTATATTAGCTGAAGATGGAAGTAATTTTGTCTGTTCTTTTTCAACATTTTAATTTTCCTTTCTATTACATTTGCAAGAACATTCCCAAATATTCAATAACAGTAGTGATATTTGTCACATAGCTTTCAATTATGTTCTTGCAAATAAAAGCATTACTCTCAGTATGAACAATTATATAGAAATTAAATCTATATCAAAAGGGAGGAAGGTTTTTACCAGGCAGATCATTTGCTGAATCACTGAATAAATTCAGTATTATCACTTGGCAATAACCATAAACCTCTTAGAAGATGGTCAGTGCTAATGTGCCCATTTAATAGGTATCAAAGATGAGTTTTTTCCTATTATCACATGGTGAAGTGGGAATAGTCTGCATTCATTTTTCCTAGATCAGTCACCAATCAGAATCTCAGGACTCATCAAAATCCAGGGTAATTTGAAAATTATCACACACTGTTATCTTGGGGAAGCAACCCTATCTTGTTTGAGGAAGACAGAATATAGCACAGTGAAACTTAAATAGTCTTTAGTGTTACATAGCCTTTGCAATTCTCTATTTTTTTTGTTTTGTTTCATCTTCACAAATACTACTCAGAGTATGAAGGAAAAGTTATCTCTGTTGTTTGGTAAAGTAAATGAGTCATAGCAAAGAAAATTGACCCTTCCTTGCCCCACAGTTACTTTACTTGACTCAGGACAAGGCTTCTGTGTCTGTCTCTGTTCCAGGCTCAATTAAACTTTACCACCTGTTCCAACTCTGGGTTCCATCTCTCCTTCTGACTCTCTTTCATGCTCCATTCTGAAAGAAATTGTGATCCAACTTATCTATTGTACATGCATCCATTTTACTATTCATCCATCTGTCCATCTACCCATATCCAACAATCAGCATCTACCATATTCAGATGCCAGTATAAATTCTGGTAATACAACTGGAATCAATGAAAGATTCTTTCCATCACAAAGCATACATTAACAGTGCAGGATACAGTAGTAAACAAATAAATTAAATAATAAGATCTATAAAATGTCTGACAGCAAACAAGGGCCAGGCATGGTCACTCACACCAGTAATCCTGCTACTTGGGAGGCAGAGATTGGGAGGATCACAGTTCAAGGCCAGCCCAGGCAAAAAACTAGGGAGACCTCATCTTGACCAATAAAAGCTGGTTGCTGTGGTGTGTGCCTGTTATCCTGGCTATGTGGTGAACATAAATAAGAGAATGGAGGTCCAGACTGGCCAGGCATAAACACAAGACCCTATTCAAAAAATGCCTAAAGCAGAAAGAGCTGGAGCATGACTCAAGCTAGAGCACCTGGCTAGCAAGCATGAGGCCCTGGCTTCAAATCCCAGTACCACCAAAATATAAAATAAGGGAGGATGACTGATAGTGACAGAGTGAAGACAGGGGCTGAAATGGTAAATGGTCATAAGAAAAAAGATTAAGGAAGAGATGACATCTGAGCAAAAACCTTTGATGGGTTGTTAGGTGAAGTATCAAACCATGTAGGAAGGGGGCATAAGGGTACCAATGCCCAGATGTGCCCAGGAGCCGAAAGGCGAGGTATATGGCTGAAGTGGAACAAGTCAGAGCAGGTGGGGAATGGAATTTTTAGAACCAGGAGAAAAGCAGTTGGGAGAGCTTTGGCTTCCTTTGATGGTGGGAAGCCAGCAGAAGGTTTGTGAGAGTGACACGAAAGGACCACCCTGCCTGTGGCACTAGAAATAGATGTGGAGAGCCCAGTGAGTTTATCTTAGCAAAATAATAAAAATGTGGGAAGATGCGTATACAGGGATGTTAGCTACAGAATTATGGAGGAGGGGGAATTTGGAAATAAACACTTTCAGTGATAAGAGATTACTTACGATTTATTACATTTCCTTTTAAAGATGTGAATAAGGTTGATAAAAATGATGATTTGGAAGCTAATCACATGGGCACAGTCTTCATTTAATGTAGGTGAAAAGAAAAATGAAAAACTGTATCGGAATGGTAGCAGAATGCCTGTTTTACTAACATTACAATGTAAAAGCACTTATCTGTGAGTGGTGGGATACAATATGTCTTTTTTATTTTTAAAGAATAAACTATAAACTTTTAATTCATTTTTCAAAAGCAAAACAGCAAAAACTGGGACTATAAAACAAAGTTATCCCAATTGTCCAAGGATTGTCTGTCTCTTTCTGATGCCTTCCTTCAGTTGCAGTAATTACTTTAAATGGTTGGATAGTCACTAAAAGGTGTTCTTGCCTCTTAGTTCTACTATAAAAGTAAAGACCATTCATTTCTAGAGGGAAAGGTTCCTTAATCTCTCCTTCTACCACCTTCCTTCTTTAGCATTAGACAACCTGCTGCCCTGTCCTATGCTGGCCGCGGAACCCAACACCTAGGTCCTCTGTGCTGCCAATCTGAGGGACTGTCACTCATAGACACTCACCTGGCCTGCACATGGTTAGCCATGACTTTTGGATTCACCTGGCCCAACAGCCACTGCCTTCTCATAGCTTCATTTCTCCTAAGGCACCCCCGGAGCAGGTTGTTTCTGAGGGTTCTGAGGAGGAGTTTTGTATTTTCCTTTGCTGACAACTGCTGGAATGGCCAAGGTTATAAAAGACATCACATGGTTCTAAACATGGTTTTCTTTCCTTGCTTTGGTAGACTGTCCACCACGAAAGCTTTTGGAATTATTTCTCTTACTTTTATTTATTAAGATTATTTACTTAGGAATATAATCTTAGTTCTTTACTCTGAAATTTTCTTCCCTTTTCTCTCTATAGAAATCCACACACAAATCTCCAAGTTGAATGCAGCAACTCCCTGAATAACTCCTCTTCCTTAGGGTAACCCAGTAAGTAATTGGCAATTCTAAAGCTAGAGGAGAGAATGAAAGGAGTAAGTCTATGTTTGTTAAAGGAAGTGTGATTCCTTTGCAAGTTGGATAACATGTGAATTTAACTCCACAAAAAACATCACAGATTTAATTCTGTGTCCAATTTCAGTGGATTCGTGGGCCACTTGAAGTTCATCCATCTTCCCGACCTTGAGAACTTCTACCAAAAAGAAGGAATAGGATGTTTGATTAAAGGCTGTTCAGCCCTTGAAATTTAAAGTGTAATAAAAAAGGTGGTCACACGGTGTCACTGTAACATCATCCAAACCCTAGCTTTTCAAGACCCAGAAGATCACAGGCCAATGAGCGTGGACCACAGAGTTAATGCAGGTTACCAAGGAAATGCTCTCTGGAACTTATTTGACAAGATCCAGGCACTTGCCTTTTGTGGACCATTCATGTTAAAGATAGGAGGGGAAATTCTCCTTGGCAAAGGCAACCAATCAACATCCATCATCACTTGGTGCTGGGTGTTTAAGAGGGATGCTATTTACATGGAGAAACTGAGTCACAGGAAATTAGTGATGGAAAGATAAATGTTTTTTCTGGGAAAAAATAGGCTGCTTTCTGCTTAAAATGTACCATTATATTTCCCCTTCTTAGAAAGAACTAAATTTACTTGCGGGTTCTACTAACTTTCTTCCAAAATGAAGCATTAGCCACTCTTCCAGGAAAAACCTAGATAATAATCTTTCTTTTTCTTTTTTTTCTAAAGAAAAAAATACTTGAAACTTAGGGTTCAGGGGAAGACATGTTAAAAAAGAAAAAAATCATCTAAAAATATAACAACTGTAAGTTGTATTACATCATTTTTGCCAAATCAGAGCCTTTTAATTTTCCATCCATACCAATTTCTGATGCCTCTCTTGATTAACTTTCACAGATATTTTCTAGCTCATTAGAGGGGATCAATGGTCAGGTTGGACTCTATTTAACATTTTCTTGTCCTCAAATGCTTTTATTAGAATCTGCAATGTAAAGAAAGCACATTTGCATTGAAAGGTATTTAAGGCTGAGTTGTCAATTCTTTGTCTTAAATATTTTAAGATATGATAGAAGAAGAATCTGTGGTTTATTGGAAGTAAGGTTTTTTGATGGCTGTATCTTATAAGGACTTGAAAAATAAATACTTCAGTATGTTGTATTAGACATTATCTGAACACAGTGTTCGACGTCAGGATGTAGCTTCTGGTGGGACTTGCTGTGAAGACCAGATATGAAACACCCTTGGCAAATGTCAAAGTTTAGGCACTTGAGACAGCGGTATCTGTCAATTAAAATGGAAAAGCACTGTACATTGTTACCAGTAGGGAATCAAATAAATAACATTCAGGCAGAGAAAGAGCATCCCAAAACATACAGGAGATGTCTGAGCTAGCTAATGAGTATAAGGTTTCTATCAAAGTTGATAGGGATGTTAGATGACTCCAATTTCTTATTTAATCAAAGAAATTTTCTTTTAATAGTATTTTATAAGGCATTATGTCAATATGGTTTTTATCCAACATACTATGCTATAAAAGTCTGATTTACCTTCCCTGCCCCAACCCCAATACCAAGTGCCTTCTATAGGCTGGGCACTGTGTGCCACAAGCTGTAGAGAACCCTTAAGTCTGCAGCCATATTTTGTGTAACTGAACAATGCACTCTCATAGTGCGAGTTTATTTCCTAACTCCATACAGCTGTAGTGGGCTTGCCTAGGACCATATGCTAACTCTGTCCTTAAATTTGTTCCTCTGTCCTCTGACACCATGTACAGATGTTGTTTGTTGTTGGTGCTTTTACCAAATAGAGAACCAAGGACTTCCCCCAATCTTGTCTTAACCTTACATGGTTCTTCAGAGCATAAATGTATCATGTCCCTCTAGAATTTAATTCTCTGATTAGGGACATTCTTTGGTCCTTGTGCCTTTTCTTTCTTTAGAAGGCTCAGTTTTTGCCCTTTTTCTGCTGCCTTCAGATCTGTGGATGCTTCCATTCTCCAGTGGCTTTATTAATCTCTCTAAATCTAAAGCCATTACTGGGAGTGTTTGGGAGCCAAAAACTGAAATTTAAGGTAAGGATTGTAAAGTGTACAAACTTTTTTTTTTCTTGAAAGTACAGGGGTTTGAACTCAGAGCCTTGTGCTTGTTAGGCAGGTGCTCTACCACTTGAGGGGCCTCCAGTCCTTATTGCTTTAGGTTATTTTTCAGATAGAGTATTTTTCATTTTTGGCTAGGTCAACCTCAGACTGTGATCCTTCTATGTGTGCTTCTTGTGTAGTTGGCATGAGGCACTGTGCCCTGACCAAACAACTTTTAATAGACTCCGACAGCTGGAGGTAAAAGACCTCTAAAAACCGTTGATACCCCCTCCTTTTTTTTTTTTAACCTTGCCTTGGATGTCTGGGAAGAAAGTTAGTTCACATGGAAGTATTTCTAAGAGGAAGCTTAATCTATTTTTAACCGATAAGGACATATTCTAAAACTCAAAGTATGGCACTTTTTTGTGTATTGTGGTACTGGGGTTTGAACTTGCTAGAAAGGCACTCTACCACTTGAGCCATGCAGCCACATTTTTCTTTGAATGTTTTTTCAAATAGGGTCTCATTTTTATGCCCAGGCCAGCCTGGACTGTGATCTTTGTATTTTAGCTTTCTGTTAGCTGGGATGACAGACATGTGCCATGTCTGTCATGTGCTCTACTTCTTTTCATTGAGATGTGGGTCTTTCTAACTGTTAGCCTGGGCTGGCCTCAAATCCACAATCCTCTTGATCTCTGTCTCTAAAATAGCAAGGATTATAGGCACTAGCCACTATGCCCAGCCAAAGAATGTCATTTCTTGTTCTGTGTTTTGTTCTTTTCTTGGATGATCTGAGCAAGTCACTTAAAATCTTTGATATTCAATTTTTGCCATCTATAAATTAGGAATACTAACACCTGATTTATGTCATACATAATGATTTTGAAAAAATATTTTAAGGTAAAAGTTGTGTTTTATATAATTGCAAAATTAATTCTATACCTGGCTCAGTCTAAGAATTATACAAAAACTTTTTTTTCAAAAACAACTTTTAATATTGCTTGTTGATTAAGTGATTATGACATGTATGTAACATGGTAAATGACATTCCTGTGCCTCCAGTGTCCAATATAAGAAGAGTATTTTTCACTGTACTATGGATATTTCTCTGGTCCTGCTTGCTTGGCTTCAAACAGTCCTGCCTGTTGATATATTTTATCATCTCAAGTTCAGTTATGTGTAAAGAGCTTTTTTATGAGCCACATTTCCCTGTGTCCTCCAAATTCCCTGCAAACTCAATTCATTTTCTCAGCAAAATTAAGACTTCATATCCAGGCTTTTTATGGGCAGAGCAGTTTATTTTACAACTGTGGGAACAGTGTTTAATTTCTAAGCTAGTTAAGGTTGGGAAATATGGGAAGGGAAGTGAAATAAAGTGAGCAAGAGCCAAGCCTCCAGACCCCTGCCCACCTGGGCACCTCAGGTATGAGCTTCACTCCTACCTCTTCTCCATTCCTGTGTTCACCCATCACAAATAATGGGCCGTCTGTGCCTGCTCTAGACCTTTTAGTTTCCTTCTCTCCTTCCCAAACCTGTAATAATAACAACTCTAATTTTACATCCTCATTGTTTAGTTTTTGGGAGACCTACATCAACCATTCTCTAAGATGGGAGTTTGCCTGTCATCCTGAAAGCTGTTGTAAGGTCTGAATCACTCAGCCCTAAACCTAGCTGCCCTTGTCTCTCGGCAGGCCATGTGGCTCTCACAAATGCACGTTTTTCCTTTGAGTCCCATCCCTTGTTTCCAGTTGTCTACACAGGGAGGCAGCATAGCGCCACAGTTGCAAGGCAGGGACTCTGGCTTCAGAATGCAGCCTTTGCCACTTGCTAACCACGTCAATTTAACGTTTCTGCAAATTGGAGACAGTAATGCAACCTTTTCAAAAGGCATGTAACATGTTTGAAATGAAATAATTCATGTGAACTGCTCACTCTAGTCTAGCATTTGCTTAACAGTTAACAAACATAAGCTGTTCTTATTACAGGTGGCCTCCAAAGTGTGTAAGTAAAAGTGTAATTTTTTTTGAAACAAGAGATCATTTTTCCCTTTAGAGGAATAAGAATGTTTAGTAGTCAGTGTATAAATTAGTAGAAGAGTTTAACATTCCACGAATTATAGGAGATGACATAAACTTATTTTTGGCTAGGATGCCTCAGACAGGGAATTGTTGAGCTGAAAAAGTCAACTGAGTTCCAGATATGTGAGAAGAATCTAGAGAGATGTGGCTCCTCTGTTAGAGGAATATTTCTGTCTGTGAAATACCATGATGGTTCTACCTTAGTCCTGTAATTGGGAAGGTCTTGCAGGCACCGCACCGAACAGGGTAAGTGGCCTGTTGTGTGGTTGACAGGCGGTAGCAGGTTGGGAACCACAGGAGAATGAGAGGCTCAGACAGAATCCAAGACAGGAATTTCTCCTCCTTGATTCCTGGGCTCAACACCTGAAAAACAATGGCACAAAAGTGCATTTTTAGGCATGATTCGTACTTTTTCTTTTCTGGCTCTGTTTCTGTCAGTTCTGCAGGAGAAGTTTACCACAGAAACAGTTACAGGCAAGGCTACCTCCTAAATTAGGTTGTCTACTTTAAATCAGTCAGCCAAACTTTTCAAGCCTGTCTGCTCTGGCTCCCAGAGACATTTTCATAGCACTGACCCCTCGGAAACAGCTGAGGACGGCACTTTCCACAGAGCACAGTGTGCGACTCTCTCCCACGACAGATGGGATCTGCAAGAGGAAACCTCATGCCAGCTGTTGGAAAATGGAGAAATATGTGGCCCCTCACTCATTATGCCTGGGCAACGGTGCTCACAGCCATGGAGGCACAGGTATTGGGTTCCTGACACTGGATGGACTGTCTGAATCAAAGCAAAAATGAAATGTCTAGTTTTTGTGGAATGCTTAAATTGAAACAAGGAATGAACCATTTGGAAGAAGAGAAGGGAGGAAGATGAGAGAAGAAAGTCTGGCAATGGAATGATAAAGAGATGGCTTGTTGTGTCAGTTCTTATGACCTGGTCAAATTATTTTAATTTTTCTTTGCCCTTATTTACCTATGAAATGCAGATCACAATGATATGGCATTAAAGTTTATAGCACTTTTCTTTTAGTGAAAGTAATAGTAAAGTTTATTAGGAAAAGAATTTAATACAACAGGATAAAGTGGGAGAGAAATGGGGGACAAACAAAGGAACACTTTCTGTTCCCCATGCAGGAAATGGGAGCAGACTCCAAAGTTATAGTATGTTTAAGGAGAACCTTTCAAATGTTTTCATATCACATCATCTTATCAAATGCCAATTGTTAGTCAATTTTTTTGTCACTATGACAAAACATCTGACATAAACAACTTAAAAGTAGCAAAGATTTGTTTTGGCTCATGGTTTCAACTCTTGGTTGGCTGGGTCCTTTGTTTCCGGGTTGTGGTAAAGTAGAACATCATGGCAAAAGGGTACGGTGGCCAGGAAGCAGAAAGAGGAAGGGTCCTGGGACAATTCATCCCCCTATATCATACCCCCAGTGACCTACCTCCTCCAATTAGGCCCTACCTTTGAAGTTTCTACCACCTCCCACCAGTCCATTCTAATAACGAATCTATAATTATGATCAATCAATCCATTGAATAAGTCAGAGCCTTCATGATCCAATAGTCTCCCAATGATTAGATCCACTGGCTGAGGACCACACCTTTGACACATGATTCTTTTTGGGAATACTTCATATCCAAACCATAACATCAGTCTTTGAGGTAGGGGGTAATCATTATCCTTATCAAAAGCAAGTGGTGACAGGAAGTGACATTGCTATGTCAGAGAGATATTTGCATCCCTATGTTCATTGCAGCATTATTCACATTCGCCAAGACATGGAAAAAACCTGGGTGTCCATGGACACTCATGAATGGAGAAGATGTGATGCATATAAAATAGAATACTGCCAAGTCTTCAAAAAGAAGGAAATCCTACCATTTGCTATAACATGGATGAACCTAGAAAACAATATGCTAAGTGAAACCAGCCAGACACAGGAATACTACGTGGGAAATCCGAAAAAGCTGAACTCATAGAAACAGAGAGTAGAATGGTGGTTTCCAGGAGCTGGGGTGGAAATGGGGAGATGTTGCTAAAAGAGTATAAACCTTAAGTTTACTTTAAATGTCTACTTTAAATCAGTCAGCCAAACTTTTCAAGCATGTCTGCCCTGGTTCTCAGAGACATTTTCATAGCACTTACCTGTTGGAAACAGCTGAGGACAGCACTTTCCACAGACTCTCTCCCACAACAGTTGGGATCTTAATTATAAGATAATTAAGTTATGGGGGTCTAATATACAGCATGGTATTATATTGTTCACTTGAAATTTGATAAGAGAACAGATTTTGGGTCTCCCCTTCTCCCCAACCCCCTCACAGTGACTATAGGTGATTATGAGTGTGATGGATGTGGCTAAGTAACTTGATCATGGTAAACATTACACTGTGTGTATATGGGAAAAAACCCACATCTTTTCTTTTTTTGGGATGGGGCTGTCTGTGCTGGTCTTGATCCTCCTTCTTCTTGCCCTGGAGTAGCCAGAACTACATCTTGAATATGTATAATTTTTTTATTTGCCAATTAAATTGGGGGTGGTGGTCATGAGTGCTGGGGTTTGAACTCAGGGTCTCATGCTTGCTAGGCAAATGCTCTACCACTTGACCCACATTCTTATCCCTTTTTATTTGGTTTATTTTTCAGGTAGGGTCTCACTTTTTGTCTGGGCCATCATACTCCTACCTGGGACCATGGGCCCATGCCACCATGCCCAGATTATGGTTGAGATAGGGTTTTGACTTTTTTTGGGGGAAGGGGGTCTAGTCTCAATCCTCAACCCTCCCAATGATCTCTGTCTCCTGAGTAGTTCCAATTAAATAGTTTTCTAAAAATTGAGGATGTGATGATTGTGATTGGACATTTTGCTTACTCTTTATTCAGGGTTTTTCATAAGGCTTTGTAATAAGGCTTAATGTACATTTTTCAATCACAATCACCTTAAGGAATATAACTAAGGGACTGTGAACCTCCTGTGACTTCCAAGATAGCCAAGGACTTGGCTTTGACATCATCCATATGCACAGATATGTATACTTGTCACCCCCATCAATTCCTATTTGGTCATGAGTCCCAATTCCACATCTGATCTCTTCCGAGACACAAGATGTCAGCAGGCAAAAGTAATCTCAGAGAACTCCTGCTGAGTTCATCAACTTGAATGAACATTCTTCTAATCAGGGAAGTGGCACTTAAAATCTCTTTGCTGACAATTAGGCAGAAGTAAACAAACATTTGTGTAATAGTGACAAGATGGCTTGTACTTTAAATTGATAATAACCCTATCACCAGTGAAATGTAAGTAACTATTCTTTATGTTATTTGTCATTTGTGAAAAATAACCCATTACTCATCTTTTGGCTTTTGAATGGTGATGAACTAACTGGACCACTTATTTAGACAGTGTTGCTGACTCAACATTCACCTTCCTCTGGTGTCCTTGAGCCATGGGAAAAGAATTTAATTTCACATGTAAAATAAAGGAGGTAGATAACATGAGATCAACTTGCCAGCTCTGAGATTCTAACACTACTGAAAAGAAAATTCACTTCTGTAGTGGGTTTTAACCTACATTTCTTGCTATTAAGTGTGCATAAAGATTTTGTAGATTAATTGCCATTTGAATAATTTCTTGCAGGTGTTCTATGGAAGAATAAGCATGACTAGATGGTATGCTGGCGCAGGCAGAATGACACTTGAAATGATAATTAGGATTCTTAAGAGAGGATTTGAATCACATAGTGGGGACTGGAATTTTCTGTGGGAATCCATCCTTGAGTCCATAATGGCAGTCAACAGAATGATAATTTGCTAGACAAATCTCCACCATCCTAACAGCTTTCTCAGGAGCATACCAATGCATGGAGATGGGGAAGGAGGGGAGGAGCATACTAACGCATGGAGATGGGGAAGGAGGGGAGGGTGGGGTGTGTTAGGATAGCTGACATTTTAGCAGCTCATTGACCTTAGTTGAGTTTGGAACAAGGGCAGCATTTTAGGGCCTAATGGATGGACTATGCTAGTCTGGAGACATCAGTAAGAGTCAGAAGGGGAACACAAGGAATTCTAGAAGAAAAAGAAAATGCCCCTTAGCCCATCTCCTTTCATCACATACACTTAATATCTGATTGTGAACAGATTTTCCTACCCTCACTGGCTCCCCGCCTGCTTGAGTTCTGAGACGTGGGGTTGTTGGGGAACAGCATCTGCCATGGTGGGGCCCTGAGACCTGTCTGAGAGTCTGCAGCAAGTTGGCAATCTCTATGTGCTGTTGCAACCAGCAGAATAGTTCAAAAGTATCTATTCCTGACATTTTCACCTTATAAAAAATTTAAAGTACCACTGTATTTAAGAAATACAAACATCTTGGAGAAAAGAGGAGAGCAGAGCAATATGGGAGGAAAGGACTCTTCAGCAATTGCCACCCTCTGCAGAAACATCAATTTGAACAAATACCTATTAGCTCAAATATCTTCTTAAGAGTTAAACCAGGTAAGAGATCAAAGTACTTGGTTATAGCACAATAATAAGAAAAACACTATTGAAGAGGGCAGGAAAGATAGTTTTCCATTGCCTGTGTTATTCTTTCCTCAAACCAAGGCAGAAGAGTGTTTGGGGGAAAGAGAAGGTAAGTGTAGCAATTTGCAGTGGATCCAATACTGGGTTCATTACAGTAAGATTGAGCACAAAGAGATACCCATAACCCCTGACTATAGGCTGTTACCTGTGGTCTGAACCTTGAATTTGTAGATAGGCTTACTGTTGAAGGACATTCCCAGACAAAGGTAGGTTGCAAAGACTGAAGTAGCTACCTATTATTTCAATGTGCAAACATAAAAATATGACCATAGGAACAAGAATAACCAGGTAAACATAAATGTCACCAGTGACTGACTCTGACAAAATAAGGTGCCAGTGACTGACTCTGAAGAGATGGAAATGTATGAACTGCCCGACAAAGAATGCAAAAAACATTTTAAGGAAGTTTAGCAAACTTCAAGGAAATATAAAGAAACAATTCTGAAATTTATCAGAAAAATTGAAATAATAAAAAAAATCAAACAAATACTGGAGCAGAAAAATACAATGAACAAAATGAAAAATATGGTAGAGGGCTGTAATCTTAGAATTGATCAAGCAGAATGATGAATGTTTGGATTTAAAGACAGGTCATATGAAAGAATATTGTTAGAGGAAAACACAGAAAAAGATTGAAGAAAGCTTACAGAATTTATGGAACAGCATCAAAAGAGCAAAGATATGAGTCATTGACATTCAAGAGGGGGTAGAAAGAGACAAAGAGGTAGAAAGCTTATTTAAAGAAATAGATAATAACAGCAGAAATCTTTCCAGGAGGAGAAGTAATAAAGGAGAATGATGGAAGGGGCGAATCTAACTAAGATATATTGTAAGCACGTTTGTAAATGTCACAATGTACTCCAGTATAACAATAATATGCTAACAAAATAAGATTAAAAAAAGAAAACTTTCCAAACCTAGTAAAAGATATAAATACCCAGATACAGGAAGGCCAAAGATCTCCAGTGAGATTTAGTCTCAGTGAAAGTACTCCATGATGACAATCAGTATTCCATACCTGCAGTTTACACGTCCATGGATTCAAACACCCATGATTAAAAAGTGTTTGAAAAGTATTTTATAAGTAATGAATTTTTACCACTTTTTTCTTGTCACTGTTCCCTACATAATACAGTATGTAACTATTTAGATGGTATTTACAACACATTAGGTATATTAAGTAATTAGAGATGATTTAAAGTATACAAGAGATGTGTGAGATTATATGCAAATACCATGCTGCTTTATAGATGGGACTTGTGCTTCCATGGATTTTGGTGTTCACAGTGAGTGCTTAAATCAATCCCCTTGGACACTGAGAAACAGATGTATCATAATTAAACTGTAGAAAACAAAGACTGCCTGAAAGTTTCAAAAGAAAAGCAGCAAATAACATATAATGGAGTTCTAATGTGTATGTCTATGTCTAGTTGTAGACTTCTCAGCAGAAGCCTGTATAGACTAAGAGGGAGTAAGAGATCATATTCAAAGTGCTGAGGGAGAAAGAAAACAAACCCTGCCAACCAAGAATACTGAACCCAGCAAAGTTGTTCTTCAGAAATGAAGAAGAGATCAAAAAATTTCCACGAACAAATGTTGAGGGTTCTTTACCACCAGACCTGTCTTACAAAAAATGCTAAAGGGAGTTCTTTAAAAGAATGCTAATGAAAACATCTGAAAGTATAAAACTAAAGCTGAAAACACTGTCAAATTCAGAACACTCAAAAAATGTAATGGTGCTGTTCAAACCACATACATCTTTAGTGTGAGGGCTGAAAGTCAAAACCAGTAAAAATAATCATAGCTACAATTTGTTGAAGTGTATGCAATAGAAAAAGATGTAAATTGTGATCCCCAAATTAAAAATGTCTGGAGAGGGAGTGGAATTAAAATGTAGAGTTTTTTTTGTTTTGCTTTGTTTGCTTGTTTGAGACAAGGACTCCCTAAGTAGCCCTGGCTGGCCTGGAACTTGAGATCCTTCTGTCTTAACCTCCTGAGTGCTGGATTAATAGGTGGGTACCATGACAACCAGTAAGATTTTTTTCTATCAAGCATATGATTATCAGTTTAAAATAGCCCACTATAACTACAAAATTTGTTTGAAACCTCATATTAGCCACAGTGCAAAAACCTATAATAGACACATAAAAAATAAAAAGCAAAGAATGAAAACATATAACTAGAGGAATCATCTAACCAGAAAAGAAGATGGTAAGAGATAAAGAATTTAATTTTTCTATAAAAAATTAAAGAAATTAAAATTTAAAAATACATATAAAAACACATACACATAAAATCAGGAAAAGAATGAATAACCACTTACACACAAGACAACCTGGAATCTGCTACATGCATTTGCTATAGTGTCTGCTTGGTTATGTCATTTCTTATTGTTTTAACATTGAAGACAACTTAATTAACTTTAAGTTAAATTCCCTTGCCTGGTAGGACGGAAACAAAATCTATAAATGAAAGTAAGATATAATAAGGCCCTGAGCCTCCAGTAAAGCATCCAGTAAAATTTGACAAATGTCACAAAGTTATGCATGGGGAGTTAAGCTGTGAGTCTGGAGGTGACCATTGAACTGATGTTGAAAGACAGTATTTGTCCAGTGAAAGGATATGCAATGGCAAAGTCAGACATGGAAAATGCTGTGCATGTGAGGCACAATGCAGATTTTGAAATGCATGAGTTAACAGGGAATAAGAACTGTAAGGAAAAAGCAAATACTTTGCAATAAACAAAAGAGACCACTGGTTATCTTATCAATGGTGCTTATCTGAACCTACAGGGTAATACATCATTGTCTTTGACTAGATATTTTATAGCTCTGTAGAGATTAAAGTTAACTTAGACAAAACTGATAGCAGTGCAAATAATTCTTGTCTATGAACATGTAAATAAATTCTATCCTGGTTGAGGGACAATACTCTATCACCAAAAGTCTGTTTTGTATCCATCTGCAAATTCATCTTAATATTCCTAATCTTACAATTTGTCTGCTCTTTGGTTTTATTCCTTTCAGTCACCTTAATTTAATTAATGAATAAAATAGACTTTGGACTCATATTCCCTTTATTTTTGTATGGTAATCATGATTTCATCTGTTTTTAAAGAGTAGGATTAGGTCAAATTGCAGAATTTTGCCTGTGATGCTTAGGAGGTAAGACTTTATCCTAGATAAGAATGGCCAATGAAAAATTTTAGGTATGGGGGTGTGCTACAGACTGGTTCTTGAGAGTCCCATTATGGCCACATGTTAAAGGCTTTGCTCCCGGCTTAGTGCTATTAGGAGGTGGTAGAAACTTTAAAAGCAGGGCCAAATAGGAAGTTTTAGGTCACTGGGGGTGTTCCCTCAAAGTGGATTATGGGATACTGATCTCTTCCTCTCTCTTTGCTTCCTGGCCGGCATGAGGTGAGTAGCTTCCTCTACCACATGGTCCTGCCATGATGGTCTGCCTTGTGGCTGACTGACCATAGGCTAAAACCTCTAAAACTGTGAGCCAAGATAAACTTGTCCTCTTTTTAAGTTGATCAACTTAGGTATTTCATTACAGTAACAGAAAGCTGACTAACACAGGATGATACATTTTGAACAGGACACTAAACTCAATGAAGAGAAAGAGAGAAATGTGGGATGCTTGAAGCGGAGAGGTCAGTTAGGGTGCAATTGCATAGATCAGGCTAAACTGAATGTGGGCCTATACTTGGAGAGTAGCAGTGGCTCTACAGGGGACAAGTTTGCATGGTGAGCTATATGAAGGCAGAATTGACCCTGTAAAACCAGCTTCTAGTATAACACACAAGTTTAGAATGCTGAAGTATTGGGAGTTACCTGCTGTACATCTGTTAATAGGTTTCTCAAAGCCCTTCAAGTCATGCGTGCCCTGGGATCATGGCCTCCCTGTTATTTTCTGCATAGAGCTGAAAAAGAGCTAGACATGTAAGGGGAAAAGAAATCTGCAAGTTAAGACACTTGTGTCTTTGATAAGAATGTGGTAAGTATGTGTTTTAAATTGCGTTTTTCTGGAGCACAAAGAGGAAGGAAGGCAAAGTTAATAGTCTTGGTTATTTGCTTGTTCTTTTCAGATCATTGGATGTGGAATTGAAAACCATAATTCAACCCTTGGATAATTAAAGCTCTGATGGTGAATGTTGGTAAATGTGGGATTATCCCAGTTGTTAATAAATAATTATTAGTAGTTTCTGGATTATTCCAAAATTGTAAATATGAAGAAAAACCAAGTAATGTATAATAGAAAACATACATCATTAAAAAAAATCACAAAACCCTTATGATCTTAAGTATTTAAAAAATAAAAATAAAAACAAGCCAGTCATGCTGAGCATGACTGAAGAGCAAAGTCATTGCGACAGGGACACAGAAGTGGATGAAGAAGATAACACATTGTTGATTGGGGGGAGGGTACACTGCAGTTCAGAGCACACAAACCCTACATTTACCTCTGTATTTTGTAAGAGGGCTGTCCCCCGAGAGGGCGACCAGGGCAGCAGCCACAGGCAGAAGCTTGAGAAAACCCGATTCCGTGCTGTATGGCAACAAATCACAGAGGCAAGAATGGGAAAGACAAGGTTATTTTAAGTGATTTATATAAACCATAACTGTCATTGGACATTGCTTGTAGACTATTATAATTTCTGGCTTTTCATGGCCTCTTCTACTACATCTAGAATCTGGCAGAAAAAACATTGAATTAAAATGCTATATAACGCTAGTGGATTTAACATAAATCCACTTTCATTCATTCACTTAACATAAAGCTAGTGGATGCCTCTCTGTGGTAAGTACTGTGCCAGGGGCTGGGGATGCAGGAGTCATCCTGCCTGATGGAGTCGGCTGTCTCCAGAGTGGAAACCAGAGTAAGAGAAAGAGTAATGCAGAGTTTTTTTTTCCCTCCTAGATACCCATGGGTTATTTATATTATGGCTGACATTTACTTGTTTGCTCTTGAATGAGTACAAGTTCTGAAAACCAGAGAGAGAGAGAGAGAGAGAGAGAGAGAAAGAGAATGGACTAGTCTTCTTATATACAAACCCTCAAGCGAACATTAGATAGCACCAAATGCTGAATGACCAGTGGCAACTCAACATTGCCCTTGAGATCACGGTGCAACCACCCACATCCTCACCTCAGGGTGAGCTCTGGAGCTCTGAGATGCACCTGTTCTGGTTTTTTCACCCTGGCCTTCTGAAATAACTCTTGGAGCTCCTGAAAAAGCTGCTGCACAGAAAGGGAGCTCTCCCTGGCTTCCTCGAAGCTTGGGCGGAGTAGGACCTGCTGAATCAGGGAGCTGTCCATCAAGTCCATTGGAAGAAGCAAATGAAGTACTGAGTCTTATTTTCTGATGAGAACAAGTGGCTTCAAATAAAGCAAATGTCTTCTAGGGTTTAAGTAAGACTGTCTTTTTACAGCAACTATTTTTTCATAAAGGGAATTCAATATGACTGAAATTTGGACACTATGTTTTGTGTGTGGTTCAGGCATTACTATTCTGACAATTTGATTTTGGAAAAGTGCCTCTGCTACTAAAGTATTAAAACATTGTTGCCGGTATAATTTCTAGGATGTCATTTTCTAGACTAAAGTTTAAAGAAGGAGAAGTGTAGAATTTGAATACCACACCTTCCAAGGCAGTTAAAACACCATGGTGATAAGTTAGAAAAAAACATTTTTATACTCTGCATTAAGTAAAATGAACAAATTGACCTTTCATGTTCAAATACAGATTCTCCTGTCTGCAGCCTAGCTGTGTGATGAATATCATGTGTGCAGATGCAACTGCTATAGTTAAGAAAAGCGCAGTGCTCTTTGTCTGAATTATCACACTGTTTAGGTTCTTCCCTAGCCCCAGAAACATCACTCTTTTGATCTTAGCTCCGTAAATATCATAATCTAGAAACAGCACTTGATAAAACTAGAGCTGCTTACAAAAAAGTAATACTTTATTTCTTATATATATTTACTATCTTCTAAAATTTTTATAAGGCAATGAACAGAAAGAATTACATAAAGTGAACTCTTCAGTTTCTTGCAGACAAGTAATGACAGACAAAATTAATAATCACCCTCTGTGCCATCTGAGAGGTGGGAATGTCAAGAGCACCAAGAGCAGCTGGTATTGAAAACACTTGAGTCTGTGAAATAATGAAACCCCACACTTTGCTCTACTTTGTAAATCACTCTCATAGAAAAGGAATCTAGCAAGTATAATAAAGCTTTTTATTTGTTCTCTGATACTGCTTTTAAGGGGTGAGTCTAAGGAACAGAGGATCAGATTTCAGGAATGTAACTTAAATAAAAACCTGGCCTCAGGTGGCACAGGCTGTAAACTCCTTTATCACTATTCCAACACAAACCCTATCACTTGGACCTGGCATCCTGAACACAGGGTGTTTTGTCTTTTGCTGAGAGTTCTATATTACAGCAGTCCAGATAAGGGTGTGGCCCGTTAATCTCACCACAAGATTCACACAGTGATACTGTCCAGATCCTGCTACTTGGAGCTCATGTTATACTTTTTCTTAGTGTTTGCAATTTTTTTTCTCAAATGTTTGCCTGGGTGTCTTTTCTAGGTGGAATTTTTCAAACACTGATTTTGTGTATTTTGAGTATTTTATTCACTGTTTCTGATGCCAGGAATAATGAAAAGCTCAAAAAATGTACATCCTCCACTTGGGTTATTGTATATTTCTAGGCATTAATGATGGAGACTTAAGTGAACGTTTCCTGTCAACTTAATGGAACAGCCTCTAGGAATAGAGTATAATGGAGGATAAATTCTTAATAAGTACATTCTGTCCTTTATTTATCCCTGGAATAATAAGCAATAGTTGTGAGCTTATTTGTCTAGAGCAATGATTTAAAAAAAATTTTTGTGAAGCCCCAAATCCATCTTCAGAGTAACTTGATACAGAATCCTAGTATGGAAAACAGAGAAATCAGAGTTGTTCTTTTTGAGGACATGGTCTTTGAGTACTCCCTCCCTGCCTATGCCCTCTTCCTATTACCCTAACTGATACGCACTACCTCATATCATGTACATTTTGTGAAGCGCAATATAAAAGCTACTAGTCCATATAGCTTATGAGGTAGAAGGAAAAATGTAAACATAAAAGCCACAGACCTTTGGTAGAAGGGTCAAATGTATAACCATTTCTTTTCAGTCTGATATGAGGTCAGAAATCATTTCTCAGGAAGTGATTTTTTTTTTTTTTTTTTTTTGGTGGGACTGGGGTTTGAACTCAGGGCTTCATGCCTGCAAAGCAGGTGCTCTATCGCTTGAGACACACCTGCAGTCCATTTTGCTCTGGTTATTTTGGAGATGGCATCTTGTCAACTATTTGCCTGGGCTGGCTGTGAACCTCCATCTACCTGATCTCAGCCTACCTGATCTCAGTAGCTAGGATTACAGGTGTGAGCCACAGTTACCCAGCAGGAAGTAACTTTTTAAATGCAAACACCACACACACACACACACACACACACACACACACACAAAACCAAAAAAAAAAAAAAACACGTGGGATATTGAATGACTATTGCTTTTCATAGCTTGGATGCAATTTATTTCATTTTGGAGAATTTCATGATTTATATTTTATCATACTTTGCCTACATAACAATGTAAGAAAAGAAAATCACAGCATTCAAAAGAAGTTTTCTAGATAATTAAAAAGTTTATGGCCCATGGATTATTCATTTGAACCTACTTTTACACATAAGAAGTACAACTCAGAAATTCAAATCTTACATGGTAGAAGGTGCTTAAATTTTTCATATTTAAATCTATAAGTACAGATTCTGAACTAAGGTTTTTTGGTAACTTTATTTTTGGTTTACATTGATGTCCTGAAAGGAAAACAAAAACTGGTTTTAGACATCAAGTAAGAAAAATGCAAAATATTAAAAACTCTTATCCACATTTTCTATTTTCAGTCAATGCAGCTACATGTGGGTTGGATACTCATATGCTCTCTCCCCTCTCCAATCCTCTTGTCTGTTACCAGTGGTTAATTCATACGTTCATCCTCCAAGAGCCCACGGTTACTTGCATGCGGCAAGTTCAGTTTCTTTCTGTGGATTTTCCATCACACACGATCAGGGTCAGATTACTTCAAGTATTTCAAGAGCATTTACTTACATTGGCACAGCATTTGCACTGATTGTAACTTAAAGGCTGTTCTATAGGCGGAATTCTCAATACTTCTAAGAGCATCTGTAAAGAAAACAGGAAATATTGTGGATGAAGGACTCACTCATTGTATAAATCCCAAGTCTCAGAAGAAAATCTCAGTGATTATGTAGCTCTCCTTTATTTTGTAAGTGAAATAATTAAGATGGAGAGTACTCTGTTCTATCTAGAAACAAATAATAATGAACGTAGAGTATTTTAGGGCTGGAGGTAACCCTAGAGTGTACTCTTCAAATCCATCAAATAGAGTCCAGCAAAAGGCGGGGAGTACTCCTGCATCAGTCTTTTTACTTTCTGAAAGAGAGGATCGGTACATTTGGGATACATTGTTGCATACGTGGAAACATCACAGTGAAAGCCCTGTATACAACTAATATATGCTAATAAAAATGTAAAAAAAATTGTTTACTTTCTATATTAGAAGGCAATGGCCTTGTGATATAAATATGACAAAACTGCTTAGAATATATACCAGGTTCTCAGCACAGAACTTTTTGTTGTAGCATAGAGACTGAAACAAGAAGTGTTCATGTGTAACAAAATCAAAATCTATGGGGTAGATCTCCCCATCTGTTCACATTATCTTCAGTGTTGTTCAGTAAAGCTTTATAAGGCCTTACACATTAATTTGTTTAGTTTATTTCAGGCATTTGAAATCGTATGTTCTGATTATTGTTGATGTGATGCGGTGATTCTCAAACATGGCTCCTGGAACAACAGCATCAGTATCACAAACACACATTCCAATAAGACCCTAGCAAGTCTTCTACTCTGTACTCTAGAAGTGAGACCCAGCAATGTTTCTTTTGAAGTAAATCTGATATAAACTAAAGTTTGAAAATTACTCATATCAAGAAAATTTATTCATTTTAGAGCAATTGTTCTGATCCAGTCAACTTGCAAGTGATTCTTAGAAATTATCTATTATTTGTAGATTAAGATCATCTACAAATTGAATGTCATCTGTGAGTGTCTTCCTTTTCAATGTTCACACTGTGTGTGCATAGATTAGCATTCCCAAATAGGTAGCAAATAAGTTTCAACCCATTCCTCTGTGCCAAAGCCAACTGATACTGACTTAGAGGAGTTCTCATCAAGTTCTGCCAATGAGACACCACCTTGTTTGCAGCAGTATAGAGGGGACAGTGGGGGCACTTAGGCCCTATACTTTATTTGTTTGTTCAGACTAGTGGTGTATTAAGTGATGATATGGGAGGATTTGGAGTTGTTTTTCTCTAATTTTAATAGGGATGTCAAAATATTATGTAACATGTAGTCAAAATTATTGAGCTCTTTTATATTATTAAATCCTTGAAATTTGATGTCTTTTTTTTACACTTGCAGCACATCTCAAGTCAGACTAGCCACAGTTCAAGCGTTCAATAGTCACGTGGCTAGTGGCTACAGTGATGGTTTAGCTTTAGAGAATATTGGGAGGGGTGCTATTCAGCTGCACAGGCCCCCAACTTTTGATTATGCATCTGGAGTAAGAACTGGTAGTTGGGCAGTTCCATGTCTGTCAGTTGGTTGTTTAAGTGAAGTGTATTTAGCAAAGAAAAAATTAGACTAAAGAACAGCATCCCAAGGAGCATAATCATTTAAGTAACCAGGGGGGAAAAGAAACCCAAGAGAAAGCATGGGAAAGAAGCCAAAGAAAACAAGCAAGGGCAGCAGAGAAGTTCAAGAAGGTGAATTTCAGAATGTATAGACAAGCTGCATGTCAATACCTGGAAGCCACACTGTGGCTAGAAAGTAGCATCTTTTTAGAATGATTCACTTGAATATTGAAAGTCTTGGCAAGTGTGGGTTCAGTGAGTCATGGGATTAAACAGCAAATTGCAGAGGACTGAGCAATGACTGTAAAGCAACAAGGAAACCTAAAAACACAACTTTTTCAAAACTTTTAATCTGAAGGGATGATGAGAGAAGCATAATTAAGCAACACATAAAATGGGGATTGGTTTTCAAAGGCAGAAGAGATTCTAGAATGCATATCAGGGACCACGAGAGAGGAAGTTGTGGATTCAGAAAGTGGGGAATACAGGTGGTATGTGAGGCAGCAAAGTCTCTCTAAGTGGGCACATGCTCCCTTAGCTACCCAGCACACATTCACTTTTGACTCACAGTCCTCTCATCTGAACCCATGAAACTCTACTGTGCTAATTCTGTCTTCCTTGTCTATGACAGGCATGTAACTGAGGCATGCTGCTCTACAGGCATCAGAGAATGTGTCGTTGTGGGAACAAAATATGACTACAGAACTTGGTACAACAACTCTTTGTTCAGGTTATCAGACAAGTGAACTTTTTTTTCTTGCTGGATTTGAACTTGGAATGGGAGCAACAGTCACTGTCTTTGTCTGGGAGTGAACCTGAGAATAAAGCCAACACACAAAAGATGGCAGAGATAGAAAATCTATTTTCTGGTGACAATATCTGCGCCTCGGTCAGCATAGTCTAGTCTTTCCTTGGTTCATTTCATTTTATTTATTTGAATTGTTTTAATTAAGAAATAAAAATTATATATATTTATTTTGTATAACTTTTTTTCAGTGCTGGAGATGGGATCTGGGGCCTTGCACATGGCAGGCAAGCACTCTACTACTGAGCCACACCAAGTCTCCTCATGAAGAACATGCTGTTTTCAAATGCACACATACCTTACATATTTATCATTTTTGATGGCCAGAACACTTAAAGTCTACTTCCTTAGCAATTTTCAAGAATACAACCCATGTCACCATATGTTACTGTAGATCACTTGGTTATTAACTGCATAAGGTAAAGGCTCTTTGAATTATGTTTTCCATCACAGGCAACTGAAATACTTCTAATCAATACAATCCCTAAGGAGAGATACTGGATGGAAGCCCATCCTTCATTCCCTGAGAGGAAGAATGAAAGGATATGATGATGGAGCTTCTGTTTCCTTTATGAAGTTGGGGACAAGTTCACTAATGTAGCACCAGGAAGAGATGGTAAAACCAGGAATAGTGAAGGGTTGGACTAGTTTGAGCCATGAGTAAGAGAGGAAACCAATCATAAACTCTGGAAAGAACTGCCAAGATACTTTGTATCGCCAATATTTCTTGTGATAACAAATCACAATTAAATAGAGTTACACCCATAATGCTCCTTCTGAAGCAAATTTGCACACAGGCAAGTTTTGAGCCCAAGATTGACTTGTATTTACTATGCTGGGGGAAAATAGCCTTGAGGAAAATGAAACTGCTTGTAAACTTAACCTCATTGGATTACACATGCTGGGATGTTTTGTGACTAGAAATAGCCAGTCCTTCAGCTTTTGCTAAGCAGGTCCCAAGCAGGAATGAAGCAAAGGACATTTCAGCAGATTTCATTGATTCAAATGTATGTGACAGGAAAGTTTATGGTGACATTAATTTTTTTTTCTTGTTTTAGCAGCATTGGGAGAATTTAAAGGATGAGAAGGCAATGTTTCTGTGATCATTCCTCTGAGTATCCCAAAGGCTAAACCCTTTTAACCACTTGGGGAGATCTAAGAGCTTTGAAGTTAACTATCTTTGAAGTTTACCCCACTATGGCCTGAATATAACTGAACCTAATGGGTTTGCATTTTGGAGAATGCAAAGCCCAAACAAACATGGCCAAAAAGTAGAGTGGAGGAAGATTTGTTATCTGCAGCATAAAAAAAGCACACAAGTTATTTCTAAAGCAATGCCCTCCTTGAAGAATGGGAATTTTATTGGGGAGTCTATACATATTCACGTAGGAAAGTAGTTTAGGGGCAGGCATGTTTCTGAGCATGCTCAGTTAAGTGGTACATTCATGACACGGTGCATTTTAAAGTTCAAGAAGGAAAGATGACAGACACATTTTTAGGCATTATTAGTTAAAGATTAAGGAGCACACGGGAGGCAGGACCACTTTTGGGCATGCTCAGATTGCATTATAAAAGATGGCATTCAGGAATGCTTCTGGGTATGTTCAGCTTTCATCATAAAGTTTTAGCTGAAAAGAAGGGAAGGAAACTTTGGAAGTACATTAATATGGGAATTTGCCCTTAAAGGTGCCGGTTTCATCACTAAGCTGCTAACAGTAGTATGAAAAGACAGATAGGCCTATCAATAGTTTTTCCAGGATTGGGGAGAGGTTAGTGACTGGGAGTTGGGATTTAGGGTTTAGTGGATATTTCCAGGGCTACCCTTACTAGAGGTTACCTAAAAGGAAGGAATGACTACAAGGCATAACCAGGAAAAGCAGAGATGATGAGTAGGAAGGAATTCTGTGTCCAGTCTTGATATGGAGCCCCAGGTTCCAAGTAGACCCCCAAATCAAAGACAAAAAGCATAGCAGGTGGCAATCAATATGGTACAGTAAGTCAGACTTTGGATCAGATGTTCAAGATAAAAATCTCAGAGGTTCTATCAGTCTCCCAGGGATGGCTCCTTCCTAAACTTAACTTGGTCTAAATTTCATACTGAAGTATAGTGACTTGATTTTGGTTTGGAAAATGATATTTCTTGCCCTGTAGTGTTGAGGGGCGAAGTCCTAGCTGTTATACACACGTGGATATTGCACACCAAGCCTATGCAAAGCCACTGAGGGGGAAATCACAGTGCTGAACCAGGCTAGACCTATTTTTGAATAGCTACAGCATACCACAGGCTCCCTGAACAAACAGTTGGCCCTCTGGATTGGAGGTTTCTGCACCTGCAGAGTCAACCAGCAGGGATAAAGAAATTAGAAAAAAATTACATCTCTGCTAAACATAGACATTTTCCTGTCATAATTTCCTAAACAATACAGTATAATTACTATATACATAGCATTTATATTGTATTAGGTGCTACAAATAATCTAGAGATGATTTCCGCATACAAGAGGGCATACATAGGTTTAATGCAAATACCATGCCATATAAGTGACTTGAGCACCTGCAGATTTGCATATCCTCAAGGGATCCTAGAACCAATTCCCTCTGACTACCAAGGAACAACTAACTGTATACTGGTCCAGCAATCAATATGTAATCACTAATTAAAGACACCTGCAGAAGATGAATGTGGCCTGTGCCTAAAATTTGTCACCCAAACAAGAGATCCTGTTGAAGAACTTATCACAAGTGCTCTTTTCTTTTTTCAAAGTTCAAACATAAAAAAATTCCACAATTTTCTCTAATTCTTTTGCTAGTCAATATTCCCTTTTAAAAATGCTTAATTTTTAGAGAAGAGTCCAGTGTTGAAGGAGGAGAGAAGTCAGAAACACCTCTGCCTCTGGAGAAGGAAAACAGATTGGGAGTAGGCATAACAGTGGAGAAATAACTTACAAGAGACTGTGCCCATCCCATTGTTTTTTGTTCCTCTGGAAATTGTCCAGTTTTTGTTCCCTCATTGCTCTCAGTGGATACAGAGACTCAGCAAGGCAGGGACTGTGCAGGTTCCCAGCTGCAGCCCTTGGTGGAGCAGCAGGAGGAACGGCATGGAGCTGCTGACCATCTGGCCCATCGGTCCTGTCAAGTGAGGCTTTGCAGCCTCATCTGATGGGGTTATGCGTCAGAACACTGCAAGCTGGGATGCGGAGCATGGGGGAGAATGAATGAGTGTCCCGGGTGATCTGCTGCCAGCCCTGCTTCCTCAAGGCCTCAATTTTTTTTTTTTTTTTTTTTTTTTGGTGATGGTAGAAAACTCAAAAAAGGAAATTGCTGGATGTATCAGGCCTCACGCTATGAACAAAGTTTCCATGTTTTAAGACATAATTGTTCATGGACACCATTTGAGAAACATCTTCTGCTGTCAACGATCCTTATTTTTGTTCAGCCACATCATCGTGTCCATTTGCCACAGGTACTGGGATGCATGTAGTTAGATCTCTTTCAACTGTCCATCATCTGCTTTGATATCCGAAATAGATTACATTAGGCCAGTGGTCCTCAAACTGTGCTCCCAGGAAAGTAGCCTTGTCATTGGCCACTTTCAAGTTATTAACATTGAGCACTCCCAGACTCCACCCCAGACCTGTTGGATCATGGACTTAGCGGGTGGAGTCCAGCATTTTAGCTCTCCAGGTGATGCAGGTGCATACTAAACTTGAACAACACTTCTCCAGGGAGAAAATATTGGGTTCTGAATGGATTGTCTGCTCCTTTGTGTTAAGAATAAGGAGTTGAGGGCTTAAATTTGGGAAACCCAAAGACAGTTTCATAATGCTGTTTTTGATACTTGAAATCATAGAATTTTACAGAAGACAACTAAGGTGAACAATCTAGGTTAGCTAGGGGGATAAGGTTGTAAACTGATGTAGTGATAACAATGTCACAGACCAGTCTTGGGTTTAAGTTGGCACTCAGAGATGCTGGGACAGTTAGTTCCCCATATTCAGTTATCAAATATTCATACAGTGACAGCTGTGGGACCTTTCTCCCAACTGTGGCCTCACATTTTACTGAGAACTTCCTCCTGACATTAAAACATCTACAGTGATGTCATTCATTTTAATAACAAAACATGAAGATAAATAGAAATAAGACATTTTGTGATTTGAACAGTAATTTAAATCTTAACTATATTGACATTAAGTCTTGTTAAATTTTTTTGGTGTTTTTGAGACAACAGACCAAATATTCAATACATTATGTATTTCTGTTTAGAAGCGAGAGAAACTCACTTTAATCATCTAATAGATTCATTTTTAGCCAGAAATTTGCCAGGTGCCTGCTGTTCTGTGACTCAGAGGTCTGAAAATACATCTGTGTCTAATATTTTTGTTTACAAACTATGTTAAGAAATTCAACAATAATACTCGCCTTGTTTACTGGGGTCCATTTCACACATTTCCTGGGATGACAGATGGTGAGAGGGTCCTTGTAACTAGAAATGAACCAACATTGTATGCAGAAGGTTTTGAGGTGGAGAAATAGATATGGGGGAACAAAAAGGCAGCTGCACAAATAACTTTTTACCTGTGAGCAGTGAGCATAGGTGTGCAGGGGGACTGAAGTCTCATGGGAGAATAAAAAGGAGGAACCCAGGTATAGAAGCTCCTATGCTGGTCACATTGTCCAGAAAACTGAGACCAGCTCCTGAAACTAATACCATTACTACTTAGAACTTTTGAAACATCACTATTCTAAAAGTAGATTGAATTCTCATTTCAACTAAATTTATATTTTCTTGACTTTTATGCACAAAATTTAAAGCTCTCAGTTGCTTAAATTTCTAATACCTTGCTAAATAATTCTACATATGAAGCTTGTAATAAATATTATCTATATATACACATATATGTGGGTATGCACAGAATTTGGTCCACATTTTAATTTAGAAAGAGTCAATTACCTTGTTAACAGTTTCATGTTGCAACCATTATTCAAACTATATTATTTCAACAAAAAGAGGAATTATGCTATGAGAAAGCTTTACGCAGTTTTACGTGGGCAATTGAAAATTGTTTTAAAAGGTTATATGATAATCAAATTTACACAATATACCCTTCTCTTCTAATGAATGAGTGACTTAAAACACAACTCATTTGGGCAAGTAAATGTCCTTTTAAATAGAGAGAAACTAAAGCAAAATCAGATTCTATTGGTTCTTTAAAAATATGATAGCAACTGTGGTAATGAGACTTGCCAAAAACTAGGAAATTTCCACATATATTCAAGTAAAATCTGTTTTGAAAAGCTGTAACAAAGAAATCAGATCAGCACTCTTCTTGGGGTGGAAGTGCACCCCCTTGCTCTTCCCATGGTCCCCAAGTAGTGTGTGAGGCTTGGCCTCCTGTCCAGTCATGGAAGCTGGAAATGCACTTTGCCAGGACCTTACCTTTCTTAGTTTCTGTGGAGAAGCATTGTGGTCAAACGTTGTGTATAAATGACACAACTCTCACTCAGGGAGAAGCTGAATGATGCAGATTTCCAGATGTGGCATTCCCATGTAGAAGTGATTTCTTGTTCTGACTGCCTAGCAATTGCATGCAACACAGTGATGTTGGAGGCTGTGGTGTTTTTAAGGGCTCGCTGAAGTGCATTCATTAGTAATAAAGATCCTCAATAATTTATAACCACTCATACATCTCTGTTTCAAAGGGTCATTTCCATATTAGTTTTTGCGGGTGGAAGAGGAAAAAGAATCATCCTTTGGGTGCTACTGAGAACGCAAGTTACCAGTGATTAGGAAACAGTAAGAAGGACTTTGTATCCACGTGACCTTAACAAATCAACCCCCAAAAAATGTTACATAGGAATAAATCAAATTCATTCTATTAATTCTTCTATAAATACAGAGGTACGGTTACATATTTTTAAAAGGCACTAAGTATAATGCAAGTCTTTAGAAGGATAATACTTTGTGAATTCTCATCCCTCCTATTGCGGGGGGGAACAGGAGAGTATAGTAGGGGGTGAATGTGATCAAAACACATTATATACATGTATGAAAATTTCATAATGAAACCCATTCTTTTGTACAATTAATATATGCTAATAAAAATCTTAGCATAAAAAGTTTTCTAAAGTTCCAAAAAAAAAAAAAAACACAAATAGGCAAGTTTTTAAATACATAAGAATGAACTAGGACACACTGAAAAGTAATTTAAGCAAATGCACAATTGATAGTCCTGAGCTTTTATCTTGGCTGAGTTTTGGACAGGTTTAGAGAAAAGATCTAGACTTCGGGTTTCACTTACTTCTGTTAAGTGGAACTTTATAGTTACTGTTGTAACCCCTGGCTCAAGCTCAGATGACAGTCACATTAAGATCTTCCCTTCTCCCCACTTCTTCTCTCCCCTCCCCTCACCTATCTTATTTCTTTTCTATTCTTTTTGTAAATATTTTGGGTTATAAATCCAATATAGTAATTGCAATTTTACATCCTAAATGACTGACAAAGAAGCATTTTTGCTAACATGGAGTTAGTTTCTGTAAATGCTAATTGTAATCGAGTCTTTTAGTTCTGAAACAGCTGCACCTTGAAACACGTAGGAAGAGCATTTGGACTTCCTGTGTCATGGCTATCCATCCAGATAGATTCTGCATCCAGAAACTGGGTAACCACTCCCTTCTTATTGTGCATAGGCACTGATGTTTAAAGCAGCCAGCGTTTTGTTCTCTCTCTGTCTTACACATAAATATTTGATGACTATAACTCTCATGAGAGAAAGAGGAGACTTGATATAGTATACCTAAAATATGTAGGCTGTCTTTTATGTAAATGACAGGATAATTTTAGGTATATATTTACATACATGTTCAACAATTTCAGAGAAAAACTTAAATCGCTAAAATTGAATGTTCTGAGCCCAGAGCTCAGTTGTGTGTGTCAAGCCTTTGCAGACTTAAAAAACAAAATATTTTTATACTATGAAAATGGCTCAAAAGTATGCAAGGCCACAAAACTCATTTGATGAAGCCAGAAAAACACTGAATGTCACAATGAAGCATTCACAATAAAGCAGCCACAATCTCTCTCTCTCTCTCTTTCTCTCTCTCTCACATGTATCTATCTCACAATGCTCTCACCAAAAATTTATGGGCTAAGGTTACTTATATACATACAAGACATAAACCCAAATAATGAACATAGAAAAATTAATTTGCTACAACTGAGTAGGTTTTATTCTAGAAATATAGTCAAGAATGCTTGATGCTTGGGAATTGATAACATAATATAGTATATTAGTAGGTCCAATAAGAAAAATCAAGTGATAATTTTAGTAAATGTTGTAAAGGCATCTGGTATAAATATTATTTTAAAAAGTAATCAATTTTAATTGGTAAAATTCTATATACTTATATACAACATTGTTGAAGGGCTAAATTGGAATAACATATGCATATCTCATTTTTTTAAATGTGAGAACATAAAATCTACTCTCCCACAGATGCTCAAGGACATAATACGTTGTTATTAACTATGACACCATGTGATTGTAATCATCTGTTGTACAATAGATTTCCTCCTACCTGCTGAAATTGTATATCTTTTGACCAATGTCTTCCCAACCACTTCCCATCCAAGCCCTTGTAACCACCATCCTACTCTTTGCTTGAGTTCAGCTTTTTTTTAGATTACACCAATAAATGAGATGATACAGTATTTGTCTTTATGTGCCCGAATTGTTTTACTTAAAATAGTATCTTCCAGGTTCATCCATATTGTTGCAAATGCAGGATTTCTTTCTTTTTAAAGAGCAAATAGTATTTCATTATCATTTATTCACTGACATATGACTATTGTGAATAATGCTGTAATAAATTTCTCTCTTCAATATATTGATTTCATTTCCAATAGTAAGATTTGTACCTCATGTGCTAGTTTGATTTTTGATTTATTCATAGACCTCCACACTGTTTTTCATAAGGCTGTACTAACTTACATTTTCAATAGCAGTGTAAAATGGTCTCTTTTTTCCCTATCTTCACCAAGGCTTGTCTTTTGTATTTTTGGTAATAGCCATTCTAAAGGGTGTGAGATGATATGTCATTGTAGTTTTAATTTGCATTTCTCTGGTAGTGATGTTTAATGTTCTTTTCACAAAGTTGTTGACCATTTGTATGTCTTTTGAAAAATGTCTATTTGTTCATTTACCTATTTTTTACATCAGATTCTTTGTTTTCTTGTTATTGAGGGATTTTTTTGTATTTTGTATATTTCAGAAATTACCTCTTCATTAGATTGCGGTTTACAAATATTTTCTTTTATTGTGTGTCTTTACTTTGATGATTATTTCCTTTGTGTTTGATATAATCTCATTTGTCTACTTTTGCTTTTGTTGCCTTTGATTTTGAAGTCACATCCAAAAAACCATTGTCCACATCACCGTCATGAATCTTTCCTCATGTGTTCCTTTAGTTTTATAGGTTCAGGTCTTACATTTAAGTCTTTAATTCACTTCAGTTAACTTTTTGTATATGCTGAGAGATGAAGATCTAATTTTATTCTTTTGCATGAAGATATCCACTGTCCTTTCCCTACTGTGTTTCCGGCAGCTTTGTCAAAACCCAATTGGCTGAAAATGAGTGGATTTATCTCTTGAGTTCTCTATTTTGCTTCATTGGTCTATGTGTCTGCTTTTGTGCCAGCACTATGCTGTTTTGATTACGATAGCTTTGTGGTATATTTTGAAGCCAGGTGGTATGAAGCATCTATATTTGTTCTTTTTGTGTAAAATTGCTTTGGCTATAGAGGATCTTTTGTGTTTCCTATAAATTTTATAATTATGTTTTCTATTTATTGAAAAATGTCATTGGAATTTTGATTAGAATTGTACTGAATATTAGATTATTTCTGGTAGTATGGAAATTTTAATAATATTAATTCCAATCCATGAGTATCAAATACATTTTTGCTTGTGTCTTTTCAATTTCTTTCATCAGTGTTTTATAGTTTTCAGGGTATAAGTTTTTTATTTCCCTGGTAGAATGACATAATTATTATTATTTTTTCCATTTCATTGAAACCACATTTATTCCAAACTATGCCAGTGTATTTGGGGGGGATTTTCTAGGCATATTACCTATAAATAATTATAGCTTTATCTTTTCCCTTTTGTTTCTTATTTCATGGCATTGGCCACATTTTGTAGAATAATTTAAACACCTAAAAATGTGCCAACAGTCCAGATAGGAACTAGAAGTATTTAACTCACAATTGTACAAAGATTGCAAAATATTTAGGAAAACATCTGGCAGCCATCATTTCATGGCTGAGACATCTAGAACAATAACATATCACCAACGACCAAAGGAAATTAAATCGATATATTGAAGCAATGTCTGTACTTCCATGTTTTGCTGCTAAATCCAAAATATATTTCTATACCTTTA